GATGGGGCTCCCAGTGCTGCTGCCCCCATTAATCCTCCCTCCCACTGCACACACCAGCTGGGCTCTGGTGATAACCAGTTCTAAACTGGTGCTTATGGTGTGCTCTACCCAGCTGGGGCCCACGGGCAGTGGGAGCTCAAAAATGTTGGCTTAATGTGAATTATGCCAGCAATTGGCAGGGAAATGCCTGTTTGATCCTATTACCTCTGCAGAAACCTGTGTGGGTTTAATTGTCCTCCCCAGCTGTGCTGAACCCATCACTGTTTGTCCTTTTCCTAATGAAGGGTTTTTGAGAAGATTTTTTTTCCTTGCTCGAGGTGAATTCTCTGCCATCCTTAAACCAACCAGAAAAACAAAATTGGAAAAGCCCACCTTGATTTGGGAGAATTTTTTCAGTACCTCAAGGCTGAGGGCCAGGCAGATGTTGGGGTGTCCATGCCAGAGGCTTTGCAGAATCTCATAATAATTATTGCTTTAATTGCTCTCCTAAAGACACTCAGCTGCCAGAAGTTTCTGGTAGATGTCACCCAGAGCTGCTGTTCTGCTGCAGATGAGGAGTTTTAGTCCTTCTGATGGGAAGGGGAGGATGGGGCAGTGCCCTCTTGCAGCTCTGCAGGTTGTGTGGGGTGACAAAAGGAATGACAGTGTGATGACAGGAGAATGTCCTTTTTTGCTTTGGTTTTAAGCTTGTTTAAAACAAAAATCTCAGGTTATCACTCGTATTTAATGGTAACAAACCTCAAGTTTTATTTTCTTTCTGAGTCCCATCTACTGCTGGCATTCGCAGTTGAGCCAACATTAAAAAATCCAATTAAAACTTACAGTGTCCTTCAGAAAAAAAGTATTTTAAGGTATTTTGGCTGTGAAAGAAGAAAGCAACAAGCTCCTCTCAGTGTATAAATGACAGAGTGTTCTCCTCCTGGGTATGGAGAAAGCTGGGTGAGGCTTTCCAGTTCTCCTGCTAATTTAGGATTCTCCTGAAGAGCCTGAACTGGGATTGCTGAGCCTCTCTGGGAGCCCCCGGGGAGCTCAGCAGCTCTGTGCCCTCTCTGAGAGCTCTGTCCCTGCAGGTGATCGTGGGCAGTATTTTTGAGGTCATCTGGGCTGCGGTGAAGCCGGGCACCTCCTTTGGCATCAGCGTCCTGCGAGCCCTGCGGCTGCTGAGGATCTTCAAAGTCACCAAGTGAGTGCAGCTCCCTTGGCTCTGAGCATCCCTGGCCCCAGCCCCAGAGCCAGGAGGAGTCCTTTCCACGTTTATCAACAATAAACTCATCAATAAATTGCTAACAAGTCAAAAATAAACAAAAAAAAAAACCAATGCCCCGACCTGCTGGGGGAGCTGGCACAAAATCCCTGCCTGCCCCAGGCTCTGCACTGGGGGACAGGAGCAGATTGAACCTGCAGATGCAGAATTCCCCTTTCCTTGGCTGGGCAGTTGGAAATTTTGGGGATTGCTGTGCCTGGATTTACACCCACAAGGGATTTTAAAAGCCTTTTCTCTCCTCAGCCTCACGTCCAGGTTTGTCTGCCCTTGGTTCCTCAGGCTGACAGTAGAATGTCCTTCTTTGTTTTATCTTTAGGCTTGTTTGAAACCAAATTTTTGTGCTATCACTTGTAATTTGTGGTAAAAACCCCAAATTTTATTTTCTAAGTCCTGTTGATCTGATGACAATTCCTTAAGTGGGAATGAGTGGGCTGACAGGAGAATGTCCTTTTTTGCTTTGGTTTTAAGCTTGTTTAAAACAAGTATCTCAAGTTGTCACTCATAT